GGGGTGGGGGAAGTTGGAGCCGGGGCCGGGGGGGGGGGGCATGACCTTTCTTGGCTCCTCTCAGCTGCCTCCCTGTAGCTGGGCTATGTCCCTCTCACCATGGGCCCCTGATTACCTCTGAGTAGGCTGGGGCTCATCAGGTGTCCTGGGGTTCTCTTGGGGAGCCTTGGGGGGCCCAGGGCTCACATCAGGGGTCTGCAATGTTTTTGGGCCGAGTGCCAAAAACCATGCAACCTCAACTTAGAAGATGTTGGCATGCCAGGGGTGGATGGCAGGGGAGCTGCGAAGGACCTGATCCTCATTGTGGCAGAACAGCCCATATCCCTTCCCCAGTGTCTTCCAGGAGGCCTGCATGCAGCCACCACCAGCAATAAGCTGGTGGGAGAGGGATGGATAGGGAGGGGTGGAGAATCCTGGGAGCCAGAGCTGCTGCTGATGGAGCACAGGAGAGGGTGGAGGAAGAAGAGCGGGGAGCACAAGCTGCACTGCCCCCGACCCCTTTCCTACTGTCTGCCCTGAGGTGCATGTTCAGCTGCTGCCACCACAGAGCCAGGCCAGGGCTCTGGACCCCAGTGCACCAGTCATAGCCTCCCAGCTTCCTACTACATCCAGCCCAGGCTCCGGGCAGCTGCTGCCCACTACAGAGCCTGAGTTTCTTGCAGCAGGGCTTGCAGCCTACCCATTGCCTGCTGTGAGCAGCCCAGGCTCCATAGCCAGCAACATCTGCCCACAGTCCAGGCCAGATATAATGTGCCAAAAATAATAGCCTCCCGTGCCATGCTCCAGCATGAGTACCAGGGATTCCAACCCCTGCTTTACAGTCTCTACTGATTGCCAGGGGAGGGGCATGAGGGAGAGGTGGTCCACACTAGGCGCTAGGTCAGAAGCAGCATCCATAATCCCTGACCTAAATACTAGTAGTTAATGCGGGTCAAAGTGCCTTGGAACCTTCTGGAGTGCTCAGCACACTGCCATAATACTTCTCCAAGTATGTTATAGTAGAATTTGACTGTTAATGTAAACTTAATATTGTTTGAACAATATTTGTCCCTACTTAATTAAAATTTTAAAAGCTGGGACTGGGTGAAAAAAGCAGACAGCAAATACAAGGCATTCAAAAGCCCTTCCTTAGAGTGTGGTATGAAAAGCATGTAGATAATGTTTTTCCAATTATCTTCTTATCACCCGTGTGAATGTGAATACAGATGAACTCTTCAGGACACATGTTGTGTTGTCATATGTACTTTCACAGTATCACAGAACCCCAGTCTCCACAGAGAGCCTTTGAGTGCCTCCAAAGCAAAAACAACAAGGTAGTCTTACCTTTTGTACATGAAAACAATTCTTTCTTCCTCCTCCTCCTCTTCATGATTAGTGTCCCTCTGTTGTACACACCATCATTATCCATCAATAAAGTGAGTGCCTGAAAGCAAGCAGAGAAGGTGGGTAGCATTAGCATTAACCCATGTGAGAGCTATCATCCAGAACCTTAGGGCCTTGTTAGATGTTAACTTTAGGCTGCTCCTGGAGTTCTTAATGCCTGGATTGTCCACACTAATACCTGAAACTACAAACTTTAGTAAGCACCGTTTAGGCAGTTTAAAGTTACACTACTCAAAGGCAGGTTTCTCTCTGATCCACTTTACCCAGTTCATGTACACTAACATAGCCACTCAAGCCCACATGGTGGTCTGAGCACCCCACCTTCCCTGCTTCCCCTGCTGGCCTGTATTCAGCCCCCTGCACCTTCTGCCCCTCCCCCCAGCATCCCAGATCCACGCTCACTTCCCCCTGCTCCCTCTCCTTTACCTGTGGCTGCCCAGGGGAGCAGGCAGGGAAGGCTTAACCTGCCTGTCCAGGAGCTCCTGCTGCTTTCTGGGCCAGGTTCAGCCAGAGAAGAACAGCAGCAGCAGTGGCTTGGTCAGCAGGTTAATTCTCCCTGCCCGCTCCCCCAGGACAGACAGTGCAGGCAGACACAAGTAAGCAGGGTGGAGTGAGGTGGGGGGGGACCCTGAGGGCCAGAGGGGGAGGCCTGGGGGGCATAGGGGAAGCCCAGAATGGAAGGGGGTGGATTTTTTCCCTTTCAGTCCTCCAGTCCCTTATTGTCCTGAACCTGTGACTGCTCCAGACTCAAGTTAGCACTAACACCAATCAACATTTGTGAGGCTCGCAGTGTAACATGTAACAAGGCACTAAGAGACTACTGAATTCAGGTATTACTATTGATTTCAAAGAAAAGTTAATGCTTAAGGAGTCAGAAAGCCATAGGAAGAATGCAGACCAGTTGTTGATCACATTAGAGTGACCAGCAATATTAAGGCTAGAGACAGAAATTACACATAAGCCAATATACGGGGTTCAACCAGTTCAAATCTGTAACACAACAGAAGTTCAGTGCACATAAAGCACTTTCAAAATGGCCCAAACTGGTTTAAGATAAGCCTTGATGGGCACAGTACCAGACTTAACTGACTTAGGTTAAATTGATTTATTGAATTTCTGTTCCAGACCGCCTCCAGATTCCAGTTAACTCACAGTCCCCCAGCATCCCAACATGCTTTCCACTTCTCCCGAAGTCCCACCCCCACCCCCTTACACAGTGGGCAGGCAAACCTTTGCTCAAAATGTCTGCTCCAGCCCGGCAGGGAGGTGTGCTCTTGTGCCCCCGGCTTCTGGTCTGAGCCACTGCAGGCATGTGGTTGCATTTCAAGAATCAAAAGTTAATGTCTATTCATTTGCTTATTAGTTCAATGTCTGCAACTTAGACTAACCTGTGAAGATTGAATTGATTCAGCCTCAGGTTTTTTGACTGTCTGTACTTAGTCTAAAAAACTAAAGGAAGCAAAGATAGCAAGGAACTGCATACATGTTTCTTTAGCTTCAAAGACATCACACAGACCCAAAGCTGCTGAGAGATAGACGTGCTGTGTGACCGCTTCCTTCCAAACGCCCCATGTAAGTTTCCCACTCCCAGGGCATGTCTACATGAGATCCTATTTTACTGTACCAATGAGCTACTGTACCGTAGCTCATTGCTATGATGATGTAGCATTGCTGGACACAAACTGTGATGCTGATGCTACTGCACAGTAGCAGCCAAAAATAACTGTGTGGCAATGGGACTGTGCAATATCACTGGTTACTGCACAGTCATCTAGTACTTGCTAAATGACAGCACAGTGAGCCGCTTGTGTAGATGCAGCTCCTGAGGCATTGTGATTGCACTGATCAGTCCTTTTAGCTGCTGCTGTTGTATTCCTGTGGCAAAGCCTCTTTAAATGCCCCAATTTGCAGAGTTCCATGTGTTCCACACTTCTCAAACTGCTTAACCTGAATGCTGAATTTATGAGTAATTAAGGCAGCATTGCAACACCAGGGCAGGATGAGCAAGGAACCATGAAAACTCAGTGTTGCTGTACATCTAGGCTTTATTTTATTGTATGGACTTCGTATGAACTAGGCATCTTAAGATACTTGCATCAACTAAAGAGTGTCACATCAGAGAGGGAGCTGTACTTAGGAAATGTAATTAGAGTATAGCTCAGTGAATGTGCAGGTCTATCTGTGTATTTGCTGCAATTACATTGAATCATGGAAATGAAATAAGTCTCAGGTCAAATTTTGCTTTTGCTTATATCCTCGTAATTAGCTCTTTAAACTTTTCACTCAGTGAGTTTTCTTCCTGCTCTGTCCAATACACTTTTATTTGGACACTAATTTTTCTCTTTTAATAATGTGTCAGCTGAAGTTCCTTAAGCCCTCCTTCCTCATAATAATCTATTCATCTTTTGACTTTAATGACCATTTCTAGTGATAACTTACAGGGAGGGCCAAATATTAATCTGTTATGCAAGTGTCAATCCAGAATTCCATTGAAGTTAATGGAGTTACTTTGAATTGATCTACATGTATGGGAAGGCAGGACACAATACAAATAGGTTTTACTTTAATTATGTATTTATTTTTAATGTAAAAATGAACTTTCCACCATAAGAACTACAGAGGATACAACTGAACCTTTTCACTCCACACTGTTTGCCTCTAAAGTTAGATGGAGGCCCCAAAAGTAGAGAAAATTAAATTAAAGCATATCATTGGTGCAATCCCCAAGATCACTTCATATTCTGTAAGCTGTGTATCCTAACATTAGTATTCCCATCAGCAACAATTGTAAACCATAGCATGCTACAAGAATGCTGATCTCCCTATTTCTATAAAACATGCACACTCAGGCAAAGTATGGCCCAACAAACACTGATGCTTTTATTCCATGATAAAAACTCACTATAAACACTCACAGTTCCTCCTCATATTAGGTGCCTGTCTATCTTGTAGGTAAATATTTTCTGTTGCTGACCTAATGTCATATGTGACATGCTTCCCCAGTTAAGATTAGTTTGCTAAAGCTAGTCAAAGAAATCTATATGCTCTGATATTCCCTAGTTGCTGGTGGCCTTACATTTTGACTGTAACCATGGTGCTGCTGGATTTATCATGGCTGCATGGCACAACGTGTGTCTCATTATTCTTTCCTGGCAGCTTTGTATAGCTTTTATTTAGCTGTAAAAATAATTTATATTTCTCGAGCATCTGAATTAAAGATAAAATAGAACTTTGACATCGAGGGCTAGATATTTTTATGCAAATTTATTTACAAAACAGATCACATATAGAATACAAAATTACACTGTTGTCTCCTTTAAACTGCTTATCTCTCTTTAAAAATATTTACATCTTTCTTTTGGGGGGACAGTGCATTAAAATATAATATATAGAGCTGCAATATAAATAGAAATACAGTAGATAATCATGTGAAATTCTGAATGGTTATTTATATCTGTCAGTGAAATTTCAGAAACCAGGATACTCATAAGATTGGGCTATGTGTTGAGGAGTTTCTTCACCTCACCATCACTGATTTGAATGTATTCTAGGGCAGTAGGAAATGCTAGCCTTTTTCAGTAACTGCTAACCTATGGAAAAACTCTGGCCCTACTCAAGACAATGACAAAATTCCCATGGACTTAAATGAACCCAAGATGTAATCCCTGCAGCTCACAAAGCTGTTACGGTCTACATCAGGGTTACCAAAATCATTCAGCACATTGGCCTAGTATGGGTGCTGTATGCAGCATGTGCCCCAGACCAGCTCTGCATGCTGCATGCCTTGGATGAGCCCCATACAGTGCATGCAGTAAATGGCCCATGCTCTGCACACAGTGAGTGGAGCCAGTCCGGTGCAAGCTCCATGCAGCGCACAGTGCAGTGGAGCCAGCAGGGCCGTCTGTAGGGGTAGAGAATCGGGGTGACTGCCCTGGGCCCCGTGCTTTGGGGGGCCCCATGGAGCCAGGTAGAGCAGCAACATCCAGCCGCTCGCTACCCTTCCTCCCCCCCCACCCCCGCCTTCTCCCCACCACCGACAGCACCACTGGCTGCAGCAGCTTTTTCAGATCCAGGGCACATGGGATCTGGGCAGGGTCTCGCATGGGTTGATTTGCCCCGGGCCCCTCACCCTGCTTGGGTCAGCTCTGGGAACCAGTGCATGGGTTTCACGTATTGCACAGGACCAGTCCAGGTCACATACTTCATTTGGTTCTCAGAGTAAGTCTGAGACCCACAGGCAGCACCATAGGTCAAATCATAGGGCTCTGAGGACCAGATTTAGCATGCTGGCCAGATCTTTGATCACCCTAGTGTACAAGAAATGTATCAGTCTTACTAGTCTAGTTTATGGTGAACAACTATCTACATCCTACCTACATCCTATCTACTTACCCACTCTTTTTTATCATCAACACAGATCAATATGCAGCTAGGATCCCACCAACTTTGTGCTTATGTCTTTGCAAGATCACAGCTTATCTTAACTCTTCATCACCCTGTTCAAACATTGAGGTGCTCAATTATTTCTTAATATGAGCACTGGACAGAGCCAGAAACATTTTAATCTGATTCCGCAAGACAAAGCCAAAGTAGTTTGCATTGTGTTCCAAAATTTCAGGGATTGTATGGGGCTTTTTACTGGAAAAAATAGAGCAGTAGAACTTACAAGTTTTGTTTTGTTTTGTTTAATAACAAACAATGCAAAATTTTGAAATTTCATTTAAAAATATGCACAGGATTTTGACACAAAAGTGATCATTTAATAACATTTTACCAAAAAAAAAGAAAGGTAGTAGTCAGGGTACATAAGGATTAAACAGAAACAAAAATGGCCAACTGAATGTCACAAAATCCTTTTTTGTCAGTTTCTAATATCAGGCTCTTTAAAACAATCTTTTTTGCTCACCGGGCCATTTTAACATCATCTCATTTTTTACACAGGCTCTACTTCTTGATATGTATCCACAAATTGTCACAGCTAATTTTTTGATCTCCCAATAAAATGGGCACTACCTTCTACATACGTTTGCTATTTGATCA